GGACAGGGAAATTTTCCACATGTTAATCACTGGGTTAATTTTGTTTGTACTCTGATACATTAACTCCATTTTGAAAATTTAAAAAAAAGAACAAATTTTGGGGCTAAAAGAATCGAGTTAATCTATCAGAGTGCTAAGTCTATTTCTTGAATTTGTCAATATGAATTTCACCTCCCTGAATTAGAACCAGAATATGTAAGTCAATTGTTGTTGTTGAAAATTTGTTATGGGTATGTCTCTGAAATTAGCTATATCTTGATTTAAGGATGGAGCTGCCAAAAGAATTTCTTTCCAATTTCAATGTGTAACATGGAAGCCGGAAGAAAGCTTTGGGGAAAATCGCGTATGATCAGTTTCAAATCTCAGAGGACGTTAAAGAACAGCTTTAGCTCTAGAATTTATGTGTTTCTTCATTTGTTCTGTTTCTGTATTTACTTGCCTTTTTAACATCAACTTTCTTTTCCAGGTATCGTTGGTGAGAGCACAATTGAGAAGAGCAACAGAAGATATGGGTCTTTGCATTCGAGTAAATTTTCTAATGCTCTGTTCCAGCCGCTGGAAAAAGAATGTAGTAGTATGAACCATGAAATTTCAGCAAAGCTGGATAGCATTCCAGAAAACTGTGGTCCTCAAAGAAATGGTGCAGATCAGGTGACTAAGATATTGGAAAGAGTGAAGAGCTCTTCAACTTCTTCTGAGGCCTGCCTATCAAATGAAATCTATTCCAAGGGCAGGAGAATGGGGCCACTAAGGGTAATGAAGAAATCAAGAAGCCTGATGCACTAGCAATTCCTGATGATTTTCTATGCCCTATATCTTTGGAAGTAATGAGAGATCCGGTGATTGTGGCTACAGGGCAGGTATATTGTAATGCCACGACTGCTGCTTGTCGATTCTATGTTTGTTTTTCTGTGGTCTACCTTTGCCTTTTAGCCATCCCTTTTCATCCTGCCTTCTGATGTATCATCTTCTTGATTTTACATACATATGAGAGATCTTACATTCAGAGATGGATAGATTGTGGAAATGTAACATGTCCGAAAACTCAGCAGAAGCTGGAAAATTTGACTCTAACCCCTAATTACGTTTTGAGAAGTCTAATAAATCAATGGTGTGCTAAACATAATGTTGAGCAGCCAAGTGGATTAGCAAATGGTAGGCTCAAAAAGAGTGGTGGATCTTTCCATGATGTTAGTGGTGACATGGCAGCCATCCAGGCTTTGGTTTGTAAGCTTTCGAGCCGGTGCTTAGAGGAACGTAGGGCTGCTGTGGCTGAAATCCGATCACTATCTAAAAGAAGCACAGATAACAGGATACTAATTGCAGATGCAGGAGCGATACCTGCTCTGGTCAACCTTTTAACAACAGATGATGTGTCATTACAAGAACATGCAGTAACTTCTATTCTTAACCTTTCCATATTTGAAAATAACAAGTCGCTTATAATGCTTGCTGGTGCAATTCCTTCCATTGTCCAAGTCCTCAGAGCTGGCAGCATGGAAACAAGAGAGAATGCAGCAGCTACGCTTTTTAGTTTGTCACTTGCGGATGAGAAGAAAATAATAATTGGTGCATCAGGTGCAATAACAGCTTTGGTAAATTTGCTACAAAGTGGGAGCACTAGAGGGAAGAAAGATGCTGCAACTGCTCTCTTCAATCTATGCATTTATCAGGGGAATAAGAGCAGGGCTGTCAGAGCTGGAATTATAACAGCACTGCTGAAGATGCTTTCAGATTCAAGAAATTGCATGGTTGATGAGGCTCTGACAATACTGTCAGTTCTTGCAAGCAACCATGATGCTAAGGCTGCTATAGTAAAGGCTAGTACCATACCTGTTTTAATTGATCTTCTAAGAACAGGTTTGCCCCGCGATAAAGAGAATGCAGCAGCCATTTTACTTTCTTTGTGTAAGAGAGATACCGAGAATCTTGCCTGCATAAGTAGGCTTGGTGCTGCAATACCCTTGACAGAGCTTACCAAGACCGGCACAGAGAGGGCCAAGCAGAAGGCTACATCATTATTGGAGCATCTTTGCAAAGTACAGCTACTCTGACTGTTTTGATTTTACCAGGAAATTTGTTAATTTTTTTTTTCTAAAGTTGTTTGACAAAATCGTGATTCTATTCCTTTCAGACTTGAGGACTAAGGAGATGAGCATGAGATACAAAGTCATTCTCATTGCTCTCTGTGTATTCATTTCTTTCATTGACGAGTGGGTGAAAAATTCATTTGATCTCTTAATTAAGGAAAATTGCTTTCGGTTTGAACTCCGGCTGCTGTTGAGAAACATTAATTATTGGTAGGCTGAGGTATTTCATACAGCCACAGAAATTCCTTAACTATTCTGCAGCTGAATTTGTTTGAAAACGATTGAAAATTTATGATTCCACTAATTTGCTCTGAAAGTTGTATTGAAACGGAGCACCTAGGTGATATTGAATTTGGATCAATGTGCAAATTTTCTTCCAGGACTGAGAACGTTTAAATCGATCCATGTGCTTTAAAATACTGCTTAATGAATAAATTACTTGCAGCATTTAGTTGTTTTGAAAATGTCATCTCCTGCATTTCTCACAATTGAAACTTGGAACAGAGGAAATAGTTGTATTAATGTATCGTATCTAAAATTAAAAGATCTAATTCTGAAAGCAAAAGCAATAAAAACTGAAAAGATAAAGTAATAGACAATGGCTGTTATTGTTGAAGGCACCGGTAGGATGGCCACCGTTTTGCTTTAGGTCAATTTTTATTGTTGATTGGAGAAAAGAGGGTCATGCGAAGATAAGTTTGCTCAATTTTAGATATGCATGAACATCATGGTTGTCGTGAACATTTTGTGGCTTTTTTAGTCTGCTTTTTCCTTAATTTCTTTGTCATTTCTTCCTCTGCTTTTCCAAGTTTGTTTTGTCACATTAACCAAGTTGTTTGGATTGAGTTCATCTTTTTAAGCTTTTCCAACTTTATTACCTGTTGGCCCTTTCTGAAAGTGGAAATAGTTTTCTGGAAGAAGCTATACTTCGTAACACAATTTACATTCTAGAAGTCTTAAATCTTACAATTACACTAGTTATGAGATATTATTTATTTTGATATTAAGATTTTATAATTTTATCTTACAAAAAAATGCTTTACAATTATATATTTAAGTATTTACTTATATATCATTATAGATCTTCAGAATATCTTAATATGAGATTTGAATGTTACAAATTCTTCTTATTAAAGTTTGATACTCCTATCGAGTTTAATAAAAAACACAAACAAAACCATATAATTAGGATTACACTATTAAGATTGTAGAAGTGACTTTTATCGTATAACATTTAGCTCTATCAGAATTCTAGAAGTAGCTTCTATAATGTAGCACTTAATTCTTATTCGATTAATGATCGCTTTAATATCATTTATGAAGATCTGCATCTAATTTGTGAGGTATTATCTTTTTATTTTAAAAATTTTGCGATTTTATCTTATAAAAAAATTTCACAAATATAAATTTAAATTTTTACTTATAAATCATAATAAATTTTCAAAATATCTCGATACATAATTTGAGATATCACACTTGTAATCAAAATCAAGCCAACAATTGGCCGGACTGTATTTTTATGCATTTGATAGAACTTGGCCAATTCATGCCAAAAGCAAATTTGGCCAATTTAGAATCTTGAATATAAGAAAATAAGATAGAAAACTAATTCTCTTGATATGGTTCGAAATTAAAAAATCAATTTATCAAAATTTTTTTTGACTTAACTGTTAAATTCTTTCCTGTCAAATTAAGTAATTTTAATTCGAATTTTACTAAGGATATTATATTGATATTAATTTTGAATATGCAATCAATATGAATACAATATATCTTATTTTGATTCAAGAGATTGAATAATTTATTTATTTCAAAATTTATTATAATTAAAAAAAAAAAAAACGAAGAAGCATGAAACTATGACATGATGCTGCTCTGAAAATCGGAAGAGGGCCTTCTGTGAAGATTCATCACAAGTGATTTGTCATTTATAGAAAGCTGGGCTGTTGTAAATGGAAAATATAGCAAGCGACATTAAACAAAAAAAAAAAAAAACTTGGATAAATATAGCAAGCCATGTAAGTGACTTCCAAGTCGATGTGCGAATGTCAATTTGGACCCTGTGTCATTCAACTTCTCTCATTCTATTTACAAGACAAAATCAACCTCAGCTGTCTTTCTAATACTTAGTAACAAAATTGACCCAAACAAAAAAAAAAAGGGTTGGTGGTATGGAAGAAAGTACTTTTTCTAATTCTTCCATCGTCAGGCTGAAACTTAATGACATAATATATATATATATATATATATATATATCAAGTAACCTTCAAAGTCAGTTTTGACATGTGCGGTTTGAATCTTAAACAAACATGTCTTAATCATTTTTCCCATGCCGTAATTATCGTAAACCATTTTTCTTCAACTGAAGAATGCAGGAGCAATGATTTTGCTTTCCCCCACATATCACGGGCATAAAGTTGGAAAAGTCTTTTTGTTGGCTAATAATAATGGGTATATTTGTTAATCAACTATTAACTTAATGACACTAAATCCTATTTTAAAATTAAAGGTTTTGAGTTCTAATGCTAGCTAATCCAAAAAAAAAAAATGGAAATATTTATATTTATTTGATTGTTGAATTGATTATAAAAGATTTAATTTTATATTATATTGATAAATAATTTTTTAATTTTTAATCCATTTTTTAATTTTATATATTTTGATTAAAAAAATTATTACATATATATAATAATACAAGTTCTCTTCAACTTGTAATTTTTAAACATTAACTTTAATAAAATGTCAATTGACATAAACGTGAAGTGCATTGACAAATGTTATATGTAGGAAAGCTGAAATTTAGTTAGTTATATTGCATAATTATTTTTTTATTGAAAGCGATATCTTACTTTTTATATTTTGTTTTGTTCCTATTTTCAAAAGGCTTGCCCTCTTTGTTGACCAGCATCCCTTAGCATCAACTACCCATATATCCTTATCTTACGCCCACCAACCATAATAAATCTTGGATGCTTTAAAGTAGGCCAAAGTGCAACCGAACTAGTTTTGTAGTTTAGTTTCTGTATCAGAGGCAAAAGCTAGCTCTAGCTGCTGACAACTAAACAGATTACTAGGCAAATGGGGAATAGCCTGGGAGGGAAAAAGACGACCAAGGTCATGAAGATAGACGGCGAAACATTCAAGTTGAAGACACCGGTGAAAGCTGAAGAGGTGGTGAAAGATTATCCAGGTCATGTTTTGTTGGAATCAGAAGCTGTTAAGCATTTTGGTATTCGAGCAAAGCCTTTACAGCCACATCAGAACTTGGAGCCCAAGAGGCTTTACTTCTTGGTAGAGTTGCCAGAAGCTCCCAAAGAGAGAGTTCCAAGAAAGGTTCGATCGGGAATAAACATGAGTGCAAAAGACAGGCTCGAGAGCCTGATGCTGTCGAGGAGATCTGTATCTGATCTTACACTGATGAAACCGAAAAGTGTGATACCCGAGGAGACTGAAGAAGGGTCTGATGAAAGTGGAGCGATGAGGGTGAAAATGAGGCTACCAAAGGTGGAAGTGGAGAGGTTAATGAAAGAAAGCAAAAATGAGGCAGAGGCAGCAGATAAAATCATGGAACTTTGCATCGAGAATACTAGCAACAGCCCATGTGAAGCTGCACATAATGGAAAGGATGGTTTGTTTTTGCAGCAGCAGCAACAAGTGCATTGGAAGGGTAGCCATGGAAGCATCGGAGGAGGTTCCAAGGCCCGTGAGGTTAGTTTTTTCACCCGACAATAATGATCCTGTTTTCACGGAACTTTTCATTGGTTTTTTTCTTTCGTTTTTTCCCCTATTTTTCAAAGCTTAAGCAAGACAGATTTATCATAGAATATGCTTACAGGAGTTGACATTTTTTGACTTAATATTTTCTTTTCATTATTATTTGGGTCCCCTGAAGTTTTCTCTTACTAACTTTCAAGTCTTCGAGAAGATGGTTCTAAATTCTGATTTTTGAAGCAAAATTTGACTCAACAACACAATTTTTCAGTGCATTTCATTTCATCCAGGACGTCTCTAAAACCAAAATTTTGGATCTTGTGCCTAGAAATAGGAGCAACTGAATTGAATTCTATGACTTACATCGACTAGTCTTTGTTGGACTTGTAAAAACTTAAGCCTATATAGCTAAAGCTAGCTCTAGTTCCAGGAAACATCTATCTAGACTCACGTGATTTTGACCAAAGAATATGATTTTGTTCTTGAACAAGAAGAAATTCATAATTTTTTTTTTTGAAGTGGGAAGAGAATTATTGAAACCCTAATTTTTTTTTATAGACAAAAAATCAGACATCAATCACCATAGTTTGGATACATTCATAATATTATTTGTCATACAAGACCATGACAAATTATATCCTTGGACTTTGTCCTGGCAGAGCCTTCTTAACATCTGAATATGAACCTACAGTCTTTGTTTATCCCTGGTTCGACAAATCAATGAAATTCCAGTGGGAAAAAAAGGCAACCTACAAACTTTTTGACTGAAGAACCCTTTCCTTTCTTTCTATATATTATTTTATTATTATATATACGTTGTTTGACAATTTTAATTATCACATGTTCTATGTCTACCTTTTCTTGGTCATTTCCCATGATCATTCAAGCAAGAAAATTTTGAAAAGTAATTGACTAAGATCTAAATGATTTTATCGAGTTACTTTCTTCTATTTGAACTTTCTATACATGCATGCATGTCTTGATATTTGATGCATATAATTAAAAAAAAAAGTTAAAGATCAAAGAAGAAAGATAATCCTATCCAAGGCAAGTTCACCAAGGCAGTACTATTTACTTATTTGATTAATAATGGAATGAACGTCAGCTTACTTAAAAAGTTCTACTTTAATCCTTACAGAAACGGGTGAGTTTCCTGCCAATCAGTGGAGGAAGCCAAATAGCGGTTACTTCCTAGGCAATGAGAGGAGGTTCAGTAGTAAACCGACAGTTTCGATAGAGCGAAAATTTCTCTCACCGTCCATCCATATAAAGCATAAATAAAGAAGAGCAAAGCAATGAAAGAGGGGTCCATAGTCACTAGTTCACCCTACGTTTATACTCAGTTGCTTTTTTGTACATACAACAAAGTTAGCTTTCAAGCTTTGGGGATTTTATGAAAGAGCTTAGAGTGAGAGATGTAACTCTATATATATATATGTAGCCATCTATATTTCATCAAAAATGTTTTATGGTATCTTCTCGACCAAATAGATTTTCTTTTTTTGTTCTTTTTTTTTTTTTGTACAAATTGCTGCATGAGCTTGAATGGAATGTAGAATTTAATAACTCTTGGATCTAGATACCAATTTAAAAATTAATTAATTAATAATTTATGAATAATTTTTTGTTGATTAATCTTCTTTCCTTGAATTCTATAAGGAATTTTTGGACTGGTTGTGGAAAACATTATAAAAAAACGTAATGTCAAAATGAAAATCATCACAACTAATCGTCAAGTTCTCAATTTTCAAAAGACGACGAAGAATATAACGTGAAGTAGAAAACTAAGATTGAATTATTTGTGATTGAGTGTTTCTAAATGCACTACAATTTTTTTTTTCAAATTTTTTAAAAATATCTTAAGTGAAATTATTTAATTATTATTTTTATAAATTTTTGAATATTCATATTCGATAAATTTTATGATTTTTTGAAAATTTATTTTCAAAATATCATATAACTTAATGAAAGTGGATAAAAAATTATAAAACTTTAAGGAAATTCATTTCCGTGATGAATTGAAATTTTAAGAAAAATTACAAAGAAAAAGAAATTTTATTTAAAATTTTTTATGAATTGGTGTAATAAAAAATTATTATTTAAAAAATCATAAATTTTAAAATTAATAAAAAATTTATTTTACTTTTTTGATTTTAGAGAAATAATAAAATCTTCTAAGGCTATAATTAAATTAAGGATAAAATAATAAATGTAGTTTTTTTTATAAATTTAATAAATATAATTTTTTGTATCGATTATTAAAATTTTATAATAGCTCTAACTAAACTAAACTCTCTAAAAAAGTATTTTGATCTATTTATCACGATGAATTTTTTCAGCTAGTATATTAAATTTTGAAAAAATTAATAATATTTAATAGTATTACTTGTACAACTTTAAGAAATTTTAGCTCTTATGTATATGTTGATCAAACCTTATAATTCCTTTATAACCATTCAAAGCATCAAAATATGAAATATTTAACTACAGCCTTGTAAGATGTTTTTTTCTAAAATCAAAATAATAAAATTAACTTTTTTTTCTATTAATTTTAAAATTTATAATTTTTTCTAATAATAATTTTTTATTACACTACTTAATAAAAATTTTAATAAAATCCCCTTTTTGTAATTTTTTTTAAAATTTCAATTTGTTAAATTTTATAACTTTTTGAAAATTCATTTTTAGTAAATTATATAGCTTTCTGAAAATAAATTTATGAAAAGTTATAAAATTTATTCTGAAGTTATAAAACTAATCGGATATAGATATCTAAAAACTTATAAAAAATATTTAAATAATTTCATTTATAAAAAATTAAAAAAAATATAAAATACAAAAATTACGGTTCATTTAAAAACTCCCATAGGTTACAAAGAGAGGGCTCATCTCATTCATGTGAAGACAGCTCAACTGGCGCAGCTTGAAAGTTGAAGCAAGAAGCCCAACGGCTATCGGCGAACAAATAAGAACACTAGTATTACTGTTATTGCAATAGTGGTTTTGTGAAAGAGAAACAGTTTTCTCATTACAGTGACAAAAACACAACTTATATAATGCATGAAAAAAAAAGCCTATATTATATCTATTTTCATTTAATACAAGGCTTTGTTTGGCAAGAACCAAAAAAAAAAAAAAATCTTATGATTAAGTTACATAATATAAATAATAATTTATAATTGAGAATCTCAGAGATTTTTAGTTAGTGCAAATACCAAGAGTTATATATATATAATCCAATAAGAGAACATGTTTGTGGTTGGCAAAGCCTGGATTGGGTCCTTTGGGAAGAGCAATTGGTTATATGAAAAGAGGAAGAAACATGAATGAATAAAGGCAAATGTTTAGAATTTAGACAACCATTTCCAAAACCTTTATCTAAACTTTGTACGTAAAATTGCTTCTCAACTCAACCAATGCTTGTCAAATTTAAAGTCACATGCACAAGAGAAAAGATATACACAATACACAAGGGCCCTTAACTCTTCCCTTTTCTTTAGAGGACATTAAAAAGAGCCCTCAAAAGAAAAACTTTGTTCCCCTCTTCTCAAGTGTACGTTTTTCAGTTGTAGGCCACTTATACCCATAATGAAAGAGATTTTGCCAAAAGAAAAAGAAAGGGATAAAAGAGAACAATACCCGTGGGAGAGGTAGAGAGCTCCTTCTCATTCATCAGCAATTACAACTTTTTATGCCTTATTATAAAACAATGAATCAATGATGATACAGATCATGAAGTCCATTGATCAGGTACCGTGAGAAAATAAGTAGTCATAGCCTTCCGGAATCTTTTCTTGTACTGTTTGGGAGAAATAATTGTTGGGGATGCATTCTTTGGCCCACCTAATATACCAGATGCCTTAACCCATGTCTCCAAGTGCTTGTCCCAGGTATACTGTCTCATGAAATCAATGATTCCCAAAACCAGCTCTTTGCGCTCCTTATCCACTCCAACTAGCAATGAATAGTCCATGACGGCAATAGACTGAAAAGCACAGCACAAAACATTTAATAGATAATGCTAAAATAAAAAAAATGGGAACTTGCTTAACATCATGAAGATTTGGGTTACAGCATCACATTCAAAATTTGTTCCTACTTTTAACATAGACCATGAATAATTTGAAAAATGGCAAACAATTTTTATAAGTTCTTATGGGAAAAGCAACTTACTGCCAAAAAAGATGTATCATTCCAAATAGCTCTCTCAAGACTTCTCTTTGCCTTGCTTCCAAGAAAAATGGGCTCTGTTCTCAGTGTTTCTAACAGATTCATATCTAGCAGTACTTTATTTGTCCCTGTTGTATCTGGATTGCACCGTGATCTTGAAGAGCCCTTAAGATCATAAACCCTTGAGATATTTCTTCTGAAAAGTAGGTTCTCCATCACCATAAGATCCATTTTTGTTTCTTTGCCACCTTTCAGGTGTTCTACAGAGACCTATCATCAAGCCAACAACAAAGAATTACAATAAACCCTTGAAATATTAGACCCTCCACACTCCATCTGGGTGCACAGAAACAAAGCTTTCAAAAGGTAAAGTGCAAGAACAAACCTGATAAATACCAAGAACTTTTGCAAGGCAAGTCGGGCTTCCTGAGCTAAGAGAATCTGTCAAATACTTGAAGTATTCCGCTGCAAATTCATTAAACGATTCTAACTCCGTCTTTTGTACTTGTTTTATAATGAATCTCTCATCTAATGATTTGGCAAAATACACCTTGCTCTTTCCCCCTTGTGCACTCCATTTCTGACAGCGGCTCAAGGAACGCAAAAGATCCACTTCACTAGGGCAATATTTTCTTCTAAGTGAATCAAACTGTTTAGCAAAATAACATGTCACCGAAAACTTCACTTTGCCACCAGCAGCGGAAGAATCATCTCCAAAAGGAACTGTTAAATGTGGAGACCTTTTCATATCTGAAAACAAGGCACCATCAGATGATGAGGCATCTTCAGAGCCAAAACTTCCATAATGGATATAATCCAGGTCAAGAGAGCCATATGACTGCCAGGGTGAAAGGGATAAGTGATAGGCTGCAAAAACAGCATACTGGACAACATTTTTAACCTTCTTTAGTTCTTCACGAGATCTGCCCCTCAGCAAGACCTATAAAGAGAAGCAAAGCAATCTGATTAGAAATAATCATGCCAAACATCTTTGGAAAATTCTGTCATGAAGATCGTATATATTTCATTAAAATTCTTTAACAAAGCAATCTGATTAGAAGCAATCATGCTAAACAAACATGGAACTAAAATACGTGTTTCAACACATTTCTCCTTTTCCACTTTCTGCACTGACTATGTAACTAGAACACTTTTTAAGGAAATAAGGCAAACAACTCAGATGTAATCAAATCACTCAATTTCTGGCAAAGTGACATACACAAACGCAATCGGAGGGAGGGTAGGGCATAAAAGCATTTATTAGAAAAATGAAAAAGAGTCATCAGATCATACTATTGTTCTCATAGAAAGGGAACGGAACCTAAAACGAAGAAGTTTGGAAAAAAAACTCAAATTAAAATGTTTGTGCCACATAGTGAAGCAAATGACAAGTTAATCAAAACAATGAAACACAGTAGAGTTTCAGAACTAGAAGCAACTAAAGCATCAAAATGCTCATAATTTAAATGTGGACACCCCATGCACACCATACCATGCCAGGCTTAAAAAAGTCTACATGGTTCAAAATTTCCACAATTCAAATGACATAACAAATGAATTGTATGCATAAATGGAAAACTTTACCGTGCAACCTAATCGCCTGGGACAGCCTTCAAAGAACATCAGTGTTTTTGATGGTTTCTTGTTAAACTGATTGGCCATCTCATGTTCTTCAGCTACTTTCTCCAACTGAAACAGTTCGCAGTGTCCCAATGGTGTAGTAGATAAATTATCAATTGATGGACAAACAAGAGCACCAGTACACCTTGCTATACGCTCCAGTAATGGCCTTTTCACATTAAGCACTAGTGAAATTTCCTTTGCAAGTAGATACTCTTGGGCATATGAAGACACACTCTTTTCTACCAGAAGGACATTGGGGCGAAGAGCCTCAATCTTTGCAATGATCATCTTGAGATGATCATTTTCCTGTCCAAATGGCAAACACTTAGAAAACACACACACACACACACGCACAGAGATAGACAGAGAAAACACACAAATGCAATTGTTTTAATAATGGAAAAACCTTCCATTGACCTGCATAAATGGAACAAGTTTTATGAACAAACCTGTTGAAGTAATGTACTAAACGATGCCAGCTGATTTGGAACTTTCAGAAATTCAAGGGCTCCTCCTAAAAGAAGTAATCTAGGATTTTTGTATTGTGAGGTCATGCGCTTGTGTTTTACATTTTTTGTACAGACCACTCCCTTGACAAGGGTACTGCAAGAATGAGAAACTTCACAAGTTAAGAACTCATATAACAAGAACCCAAGAGGGAAAAACAATAGAGCATTTGAACTTTAGAATATCTGAAAAGAGTTAAAACAGTCCACACCTCTCACTGGGAGTTCCTGTCGCTATACACTTAACCTTCACATAATCCCCAGGATCCATACTGCCTCCTCTGCTAGTATCTGGTTTCACAAAATTTGCTGCTTGCCATGCTATTGCTGTGATAATGTCAAGCCAGTCCCCAGCATTATCCTCTTTACCAACTTTGATACCCTCACCCTGTAACAGTTGTGACACAAGAGCCCTAAAATGCCTCTGTATTACAGCTCTGAGGGGTTCTTTGTTTCCCCCATTTTGTTTCTCCCTTGCTGGGAACATCCTGGAAAGCTGCTATTTGATGAGAACATTGCACCAGAATCCCCAATATCATCATCTTCATCATCATACGTAAAGAAGTTACTCTCTTCCTCATCATCCCCATCCTCAGGTGGTGGAGGATACCATATTAGACCATTTTTCTCAAAATCCAATGGCTTTTGAGACTTTGCATATTGATTAGGAAAAATAGACATGTCATCAGAGTAATCATCAGAATTCTCTGGTTCCTCACTCTCTGTCTCTGGCTTTCTTAAAACAGCCATGTTATCGTGATCAAAGGGATCAACATAATGAGACATTGGGATCGCTTCTTGTCTCCACTGTACAGAGTGCCCAACTCTAGGAGTAAAATTGTTCCTAGAGGGGCTGACTGAAGGACTTGATCCCACAGATTTAAAACCATAAAACTCATATCTAGTACTAATACTACTTGAATCTATGTCCGAAACATCTTGATAATATTCAACGGAACAGCTCAAAAAGTGCTTACCGGAATCATCTGCATCTTCTTCGTCACTCCTACACCAGTAAATACACAAATGACAACACATTCACTAACGTGGGAAAAATGATGAAAAAAAGATGGTTAAGAAAAAAAAACTAACTTTAGGAGGGTTGGGGTGCCTCCTAAATACATAAATAGAATATTCCAGCATAATTGTTGTCATCGAAGCTAAAGTATACCTGCTGGGAGATCGCCGAGTAGATACTGGAGAAGGATGGATGCTAAACGAATTCGTACTCTTGCCAGTTGCTTGCAGAGAAAACCCACATTCAGGGGTTTCAAGACATCGGCCAAGATCATCACTCTTGATAGATTCACTATCCACAGAACAAGGGGATGGTGTTTCCGGGCTCTCCCGGAGAGACTCAGAAGGATGCACTTTCTCATAGTAATTCCTTCCTCCACTTTCACGCCTCGTATTAACCCCATCACAACATAACTTACAAGATTTAACACACATCATCCTAGAAGAATCATTAGTATTACCCTTCATATTATCTGACTGATCAACATCATCAATAACAACAACAGGGGATTCATTTCTTTCAACACATTTAGAACATAGCCAACGACCACAACTTTGGCAACGGTATGTATGAGAAAATTCATCTACAAACTTCTTATCACGTTCACAACAACGCATTTTTTTTGCAAACACCGTTGCTGAGCATCCCAAATTCTTCAGCAGCAAAATGAGGAAAGATTTTATATACCGTTAATAAATAACACGACGTGAACTCATTAATGAATAAAAATTAATACTTAAAATAAATATATAAAAATTAATATTTTTAAAAAATTTATTTATTAATGAAATAATATAATTTGATTTATTAAATTAATGTGATGACAATATTTTATTTATTGATATTATATAAAATCTTAAGGTCTATCAAATATAAATCATTTAAAATATATAATTAATCATTATTTTTTAATTTAATAAAAATAATATATTAAAAAATATTTTTTAAAATAGTATTTTAATTATGTAAAATGTTAATTCGTATTTAGTGATAATAATTAATATGATATTTAAGAAAAAAAGTAATTAATGCATTGTTTGTTAATGAATTTAGTAAAAGTAATACATTAAATGCAAAATATATTCTTAAATAATATTTCAATTACCTTTAATAAGATTTATAAACACTTGATAATCGAACCTTTTAATTATTTTTAATTTGAATCTTTTAAAAATAATAGAAATATAAAATAAGAGATTATTTAAAATTATAATAAAAATAAAAATATATTTTATAATTAATTTAAATTATAACATAATCATTTTTATATTTTATATTGCAATAACATGGATTTGTGTGATTCCATTTTTTATTAATAACTAACTTTATTAACACGCTTTTTTTACCTGCGCGCAACACACGCTTCGTTGACAACATTTAGAATTTCGGCTTTTAACTGGGTCAGGTTGGCGGGTCTCTTTTGACCCGACCTCTCAATAATCTTATTGATACAAGTTTTTGAATAAAATTAAAAATTTAGGAGTCCACTTTTAAATTTTAGCTTAGTAAGAATATTTTTATTTCTTTTTTTTTAGAAAATCCTTAACTTTTAATTTTATTCATGAAATTTAAATAAAAATATAAATTTATCGATTTTTTTTTAAATTAATTGATACGTTATTGAAATTGACATTTGAAAGTTATAATTAAAAAAAATTTAAACACGGAATATTTTTTTCAATCAAATATGTAATAAAATAAGAAGTATTTAAGGATATATTAAAAACTTCTAAAAAAGTAAGAATATGAATTTAAATTTAAGGTTTATAAAGGAATTAAATTTCTTATGGTGGTTAAAATAAATTACTAAATAAAACACTAATAGATCATAATCGTGTTACTTTATTTCATAATAAAAACATCATAAAGCTTCTAGTAGGACGGTTGGTAAATTTTGTATTGATTTTGGAAATTTTTAGTTATGAAAAACATCATATCTCTCATAGTTATTGTTTTGCACGAGTCTAATGATATATCTTCATTAAGCTATACTTGAAAGTGAGTTACTATTCCAATTTTTCAATCATAAATATGGCATCAACTAGATCTCTTATTATTATTTTTTAACATGCCCACATGGGTTGCTATTCAAATCCGAAATTCGAACTCAAATCAAATTCGAAAATTCAAATTCTAAAATAATAAAAAAAAAAGTGGTGTGGGTGTGGTACGGCATGTCCCATAAACATTTTTACAGGTAGGTGTTTGAATAATAGAAATATTATTTATTGCCCTTGAATATTGTTTCCAAGTTCTTATAATGCGACCAAATTAAAAGTTTGATATAAGTCCACTGGATTCGCTTCCTCAGTCGGGAAAATTGCATCAATCCTACACAAAGTATAGTCACTTAAAGCAAAGGATAAGAGTAGAGTATGCCGCCTCTACACATTTTTCTTCATCATCATTTATGACTCATCTCCATGTGAGAACCCATGTCACTCTCCTTTATTAAAATAATAATAATAATTTTGAGTCAAAATAATAATAATAATAATAACTCTAACCTTTTTTTGTAAGGATAGAATAGTGTATTTTCTCCATACTTGCTAATTTTAAATTAAGTAATGATACTATATCAAAAAAATACAAAAATAACATAATTTAAATTTTTAATAAAAATCGTATATAAATTTAATAAAATATACATTGGCGGATCCACATATAAAGTGAAAATATCCATAAACATCCTAAAAATTGAAAAATAAAAAAATTTAGATAAGAATTTTTGTCCTAAAAAATTTTGTTCTAACACTTCTAAAGTTTTTTTCTTGACCACCATTTCATTAATAAAATTAATAAATCTATCAATATTGTATATATATATATATATATTATAAATTGACACCTTTAAAAAAAAAATCTTGAATCTGTCACTAAAAATGTATTTCGTTCTTAACATATCAACATAAATTATAATATGATATAAATTTTTTATTCAATATAAAAAATGATTAATGTCATAAATGACACTTACGTTATAGTAAAATATTCAATATAGTATTTAAATTTAAAAATTTTTTAATACGATACTTAAATTATTAATTTTTTAATTAGAATGATGCTCACTCTTAAATGATAACATATGATAGATAAATAATTTTTCAAGTATTATATTACTAAAAATATTCATAATTTAGACACCATATTAAAAATTCTTAAAATTCGAATATTATTTTAAATATTTCTAGAGATAATTTATGTCATTAATCCATAAAAAAATTGTCAAAATTTGATTGTTATACTCTTGCTTCTTTGAAAAATAATAAATATCGAGCTATCCTTTAAACTACCAGTCATCCAAAGTTTTTTTTTTTTTTTTTTTGGGCAATTGTCATCAAAATCGAATGTACTGTATAATCCCACCACATCATAGTTGAAACATTTCAACTTTGTTCGTTTTTTATTGGCCCATTTTTCCCTTGCTTTCCATTCTGTATCCTGGGGAAACAAGTAGGTGCCTTCTTACAATTATATTTCATTTGGATCATTGGCTAAAAATATTCTCCTCGTTCTATTATTGAACTTTTAAAATTTAGTTTCAAAACAACATAATGGTATAATGAAAAGGTTTCCCACCAACCATTTTAATCAAACTTTTGTTTTTGGCAAAAGCTGCATGACTAATGGCTTGTTTACACAATTTCTTAGGATTGAAATTTTTATTAAAACCTCCATTATACAATTGCTTAATTAGGTTTGTCAAGAAAAAATCTTCATAACTACTCATTTATTAATTAATACTAATATTACCCTTTTGGGAGTTTAGCCCACAAATTAGTATATATAGATTTAATAATATGTAGATGTTCTTCCAATATAAAAAATAAATAAATTTTGACTAAATATTAAATAAACCTTTATTTTTATTTTTAAAATAAATTTATATATTTTATTATACTCAAATAAATTTCTATCTCATAATTTATACTCAAATAAATTCTTATGGTGATAAAAGGATGTAATGTGTATGACTTGATTGGATACCATCATAGTCAGCTTGCATATTTTTTTTTTTGCACATTTAAACGTGGATATTGCTTTCCTTTTTCTTTTTTGGCCATTGATATTGTTTTTTCAATGTACCAAAATTGACTATTTGGGGTCGACTGATCTTAAATCAGTTAGCATGATATTAGATTATTTGACCATATCAATGCACAATTCTTGACTAAGATGACCATATCAATGCACAATTCTTGACTAAGTTATCAATGTTTAATCTGAAGATTAGAGATCAGTCAACAACTACCACATTTGCTCGTCAATCTTTCAAATCTAATCTACGATGATGAAAGTGGTGTTGGCTGTCTTTAAGGAACATATGGTGTGAGTCTACGTTTTTTCTTGGTTCTATCTTGACAAATTTTAGGTCTAAGTTACCAAGTGAAGATTTTCTTTAACTTTCATTTTACTTATTATATATGTATTTTTTTTAAAAAAAAATACATATTAAAATGTAAAAAAAATCTCATAAACTGTCCATAAAATTTTAAAAAACCTTATTAACCAAGTTAAAGAGTACAAATTTTTAGAATAATTTTAAAAAACTCAAAATTTTAATATAATAAAGAAAACAATGCAACACATGTAAAAGTGTTCATAAGTTAGATTTGATCGGATTTGAATTGGATTCATATTTGTTATTAATAATTTATATATTTGTTTAAGTCTAATTCAGTTTGAAATTTCGGGCCTCTAAATTTTTCTAAATCCAATTCAAATTTTAAAAAATAAATTTTAAGCCAACCTATTAAACATAATTCATATAATAAAAAATTAAAAAATTTGATTAAATTAAATTTAATGAGATTATATTCAATTCATATATATATAAATTAAAAATAAAAATTATTTAATAAAATATATAATTTTTAATTTTAATTTATATATATGTAATTAATTTATATAATTTATACATATATAAATATAAAAATTATATATATGTGTGAATTCGGATTGGGTCAGGCGGAGTTTGGGTTTTAAATTTTTTATTCAAGATTCGACTTGAAATTTAAATAAATTTAAAAATTATGTTTAAATTCATTTAACGAATTTAATTTTTTATCTAAACCATCTAAAATTTTAAACAAATAGCCCCGCTTAAATAGGTATAAACATATGACCATTTGATTTAATAATTGTACATGATCCTCGGCTAGATTTAAGGTTCTTCTCAAAATTGTACACAAAATCTTGTTACATTATCTTATCAAAAGATAAGAGATTACAACAGACAAAAAAGAAAAATTCAACAAAGTCTACGATGTTGTTTTCATTGGATATCTAATTGACTTTAGATATGGGAGGAATTTTGATGTTCAAGAGAAATTGCTGTTGTGTCTGAAAATGAAAATAGAAAATGATGTGCTAGAAAACCATTCTACACCAAACTTTGTCTATATATATATTTGCATGTGTAATGCGACGTGCGAGGAAAAGTTTTGCATCAAAGCTGAGTCAGAAATTTTTGGCATACATAAAACAAATGTGACAAGATAATGTTAAGCCAACTTTTTCTCTCTCTAATTTGAGGACTAATTACTTTTTTTTTTATATATTTAATATTAGATTATATAATGAAAAATAATTCCTTTTCATTTTATAAATTTCAGTCTATTTATTTTAAAATTTAAACTTGTGAACTTTAATAATATATATTCAATCTCGATGTTTGATGTATAATGGGAATTATTTTTTTTGTAATAATTTAAAGATAAAAAAAAGAATTGTTTTGCATAGAATAATTAGATTAAATTTCGGATTAATGGTAATAATTTTTCTCTTCTATTTGCATTAGAATTGATTTAAATGCTGTTTAATTTCTTTGATAATAATAAAAAAGAACCTCACATTTGACACCAAATAGATGGTTTTTTAGTGTTAGACCATAAAAAATTAAAAACCAAGAGAGCAGCTGCAGGGTCAAAATCCTATATAATCACAGAAACCTATGTGGAATCTCATCATCCATTATTTCAATTGCATTTTTTTGGCTTGTAGAAAAATGAAATTAAGGATGCCATGAGGTCTGAACCAGATATAGTATTTTTTATTTTGTTTTCATATTTTCGTATTATATTTATTTTATTTTTATATTTAACATGTATTTTAAATCAATCTTTATTTTCATTTTTATTTTCATTCTCGCGAATATTTAATGGGTATGAATAATTTTTTTATCTGTAATTTTTTAAAAAAATAAAAACCAAGAATGATTTTTTTAGTTTTTTATTTTTATCAAATTGTCATGTATATTTATGAAATTCTTTTGTAAATATATATTAAAATATATTTTACATAAAAATATATTAATTTTAATTAATCTAAATAATAATTTATATTATTTAATTAAAAACCTATTTATTAAAAGATAT